TTGTCAAACATAGGTTTCTATAAAATCACTCATTTATCTAAACTCCAGTGAATAAAGTCCTAGCCAATCCAGTCTCATTTTGTATATCAGTTTTGCCAGTCCAGGAATCAGTCTCGTTCATCTTCCTTGCATTCACTTTTTTAAATTAATTCACCGCATGTGAGCATCACGAGTTGGACCAACATGTCTTGCCCATCTCCAACTGCCCAAGAGTGAACCACATTGCTGTGGGTCTGGAGTCACATATAGGCAAGACCAGGCAAAGACGGCAGATTTCCTTCCCTAAATAATCATTAAAACTCTTATTTCCAGATTATTATTGAATTGAAATTCCACCATTTGCCACAGCCGGTTTCAAACCCAGGTCCCCAGAACATTATCTGGGTCTCTGGATTAATAGCAATAATACCACTAGGACATTACCTGTGGTAGGATGTTCTGGTCTGAAGGTATTCAGGGTAGGCAAAGAGACCAAAAGTGTACACAATATTTTAGGTGTGGTCTAATCAATACTTTATACAATTGCAGCAAGACATCCCTGTTCCTGTACTTGAATCTTTGCACAATGAAGGCCTAGACACCATTTGCCTTCTTCACCACCTGCATGCTTACCTTCAGCAACGGCTATAAAACGACACCCAGGTCTCATTGTACCTCCCCTTTCCCAATCTATCACCATTCAGTTCTTAATTTGTCTTCTTGTTTTTGCTATTAATGAGGATAACCTAACATTTATCCACATTACATTTCACCTGCCATGCACTTACTAACTCACTCAACATGTCCAAATCACAATGAAGCTTCTTTGCAGCCTCCTCATTGCTCACTCACTCACCTAGTATTGTGGCATCTGTAAACTTGGAGAAATTACACTGAGTTGTCTCATCTAAAGCAGTAATATATACTGTGAATAGTTGGGTTCCATGCATTGACCCCTATGGTACCCCACTAGCCACTGCCTGCTACTTTGTTTATTCCTACTCTTTGTTCCCCATCTGCCACAATCCTCTATTCATGTCAAACACTACGAACAATCCCATGCACTTTGATTGTAGATGCTAATCTCTTAAGTGGGACCTTATCAAAAGCCTTCTGCAAGTCCGAGTAAAACACAGCCACCGACTCCCTCTTATGCCTTTGGAACATGATTTCTCCTTTGTAGATCAATGCTGATTATATCCTGTCACCGTTTTCCTCAAGTGCTTTGCTATTAAATCAATTATAATGGACTCTAGCATTTTCCCCCACATCTGATGTCAAGATAACTGGTTTATAATTCATTATTTTCTCTCTACCTCCTTTTTAAAATATCGTGGTTACATCAGCTACACTCCAATCCCAGGAACTGTTCCAGAGTCTATAGAATCTTTTAAGATGACCACCAATGCATCCACTATTTCTAGAACCACTTCCTTAAGTACTCTGGGATGTAGATAACTGAACCCTGGGAATTTATGAGCCTTTAATAAATCAATTTCCCCAACATCATTTCCGTATTAATATGTGTTTCCTGCAGTTCCTCACTCTCACTGGACTCCAGGTTCCTTAATATTTTTGGGACATTATCTGTGTCTTCTGAAGTCAGACCTGTTGCAAAGTTGGGGAAGTATTTGTGGATTGGGAGGCAGGACGTTAGAATTTGGTATTTGTAAAATATTGATGTTTTTAAAATGCTAGCGCGGTGGGGAAGCAGCATTGTGTGGTCCCTTTAAAAGATTATACTTTCTCAATGTCTGTGAGTGGCCTGAAAACTTGCAACTACAGACAGCACCTAAATTGAAATGTTTTTATCGAAAGGCTGTACCGTTAACAGGCCAAGCTGCATTTTTACCAAGACAACAGGTTTTTGAATTTAGTCAATCAATTTGAACTAGGCACTTAGATACTACCTATCAAATTTGAATCTGATAGTTTTGACAACCTAGGACCAATCCAATTGTAAGAAATTGATATGTCATCAGGGGTATAAAAGAAGGGGGCAGTTGGAAAATCAGCAGTGCTAACCGCCATCTGCTGGAGATAACAGCTCTCAGCTTTTAGAGAAAGCACCATCTATTCACAATGGTACCACGGCACTCCTAGCTAAGATTCCTGACAGAGGAATTCCACAGAGAAAGAATTCCTGATAGAAGAACTGACGTAGAAGACACAAAACATTCCAGAAGACGTAACCTAGCTGTAACTTTGAGAGATTAAATGGTATTGTTTTGTTATGTAAGTGGGACGTATATTAATTGGAACAGCATACCATTAGAATCTTGTGTTATTCAGGAATAGTTGATAGTTAGAAGGATTTGTTCGGTTTGTTATTAGTTTAGTTAATTTGTGTATTGTTAGAGTTAGATAAATAAATTGTTACTTATTGGTTATAAAGTGAGCATCAGGGATTTATTTGATTTAACCAACCAGAAGTTGCTGAAAGACAGGTTACACCTTTTTTCACACTCGATTCAACAGATTATAGGGCAAGGTGCTCCCTTTTGGGTGTTTTGGTTTTGGTTCTCAGGCAAGGGTCAACCTCCACTTTATAACAGAACTGACATTATGTATTTGAGATAACAAGGTGTAGAGCTGGATGAACACAGCAGGCCAAGCAGCATCAGAAATG